ATGTACCACCATTGCTAGCTGCATCTTGTTCTTTCCCCTCAAATGCACATTATAATATGTGGAATATGTTTGTGAAGGGTGTGAAGGCCAAAAAAGTTTTGAGCTTCTGGATGTTGTTGCTGCCTAAGCATACTCAAGCAAGTTTGGGTGCAGATTAATACTATTTAATACTATAAAATATAATAACTTGGGGCATTAATGTGTAGTAATTACTGTGTCTCCTGAAAATTGTTAAGAAGAAATATGTTATATATTTTTGGCCTTTTTGTATTAGCTTCCAAAGCAGAATCATTTTGGGTTTCTTAGGAGTAACTTCTGGATTTTCTTTTTTACACTCCTTTTTAATTCCCTGCTTCATATTTCTTTCCCTCTTGCTCTGATGGCATTTTCAAGTTTCTAATCGTGTTTTTAAAAAATTATTTWTTTTTATGTGGTACTGAGTATCTAACCCAGGACCTCACATGTGCCAGGTGAGCGCTTTACCGCTGAGCCACAACTCCTATTTCTCCTAGCTTTTAACAGTGCATGTCAAAATCTTTTTATATTAACGAGTACAAATAATTAGTAAAAGAAAAATGATTGTAGGTTACGGATTTTATTTTCTTGTTTCACTAGAGATCTATTGTGTTTCCTTGATTTTAAGGCTTATGTTTTTATTAGCCATTCTGACTTTTAATATTACCTCTCCCTTATTGCTCTATTGTCTTCTTTTAGGACTAGTAAAATATCTACAGATCTTCTTATTCTACCTTCCATATCTATGAAGTTCTTTTCATATCCCTTCCCTGCTTTTCCCTGCATTTGAGATCTGTCTTCTACTTTACTGGTTTTCTCTTCAATGCTGTCTTACTCTCTTTTGGATTATTATATAGTTATTATAGTTATTTATAGGTGTTTGATTTGATTCTTTTAAAAATTTGCTTTTTGACAGTCACCTTTTCCTTAGTAATACTTTAAAATATCCTTTTAACTGCTTTAAACAGATGAAACTATTTCTCTTCCTTTTTTTTTTTTAATACTTGATGATTTCTGAAGATCTGATTCTGATACTGTGTCTAACTCTAAATAATGGTGGTAGCTTTACTTGTGTGCTTTGTGAGTTGTGCTTATATTTATTGGTACTTTGCCTATGGGAACTATTTGATTCTGCCAGGCTACTGGGCATATTTAATCTTATGCCAGTTTAAACTGAATTCTCTTTTGACATTTTTAAATCAAGCAGGTAATGTTAATACTGTTTTTCAACTCTGCCTGAAGGCCAGATGATGATGATTCTCTACCTCATTTCTTGAAAGTTTGGTCATTCTGTTGTGGACTAAATTAGTCTAATTAAATTGTGGACTGAATACTATATTAAAAAAATACAGTAGGCTCTTTAGTGAAAAATTTTTGGAAGAACCCACATTGAATAAGGCAAAAAGGTGTTTTTTTTTTTTTTTTTTCCTTCTTCTTCTTCTTTCCCACTGCAGATCTTCTTGGAGTATTGAATAAGTGAATAGGACTTGTTGCTTAGTAGTCATATGCAGTAACCAGAATTTTTCTTGTTCTACTCCATGGCTCTTTTTGGAGGTGGGGGTATGCGTTTGTGAAGCATTTCATGGGAACAGTGAGACCGGTGAAATGATTGGTCTTCTGGAATCTTTGGTTTCTGCTGAGAGCCTTTTCACTGCCTCTCCCTCTGTTTGTAGCACTCTGCTTACTCCTTGATATGTGTGTGTGTGTGTGTGTGTGTGTGTGTGTGTATGTGTGTGTGTGTATCTTTTACTTAAACTCCCTCATAGAAGATGTGATTGTACCTGTGATCCTTATCCCCAGAATAAGACATTCTCATTGGATAGAGCTCTTGTATTAGGCTGCGACATAGGCCATTGGTGAGTTTTCTTTGGACCAGTTGGATCAGGACCCTAGTTATTTCCAGAGTGGTAGATAAATAAGGCTATTTTGTTTTGTTTTGTTTCCTATTTTATTTGTGTTTGCCAGTTTAACATAAATTTCCTGAAACCACGTATGTCTTCCTCCTCATTATTTCTTCACTGTCAACATAGAAAAACGGCATGCATTAGATGCTAGATCAATATGTTGACATTTTAGCTTGACAAGCCTTCATCATTATCCGAGTGTAGCTGGTAGTCAGTATTGCATGGCTTATTCATTATGGATGATTTCATTTTTTCATCTTAGTGTACCCCCCCAAAATCTTTTGAACAGAAATTGACTATGTCAAGCTTGATAAGTATCCGACGCAAAAAGTTCTTATAAATATCTGTGTCCTCTACCCCATAAAATCATTTTCTTTTTTAAGACTAACTTCCAGTGTCATATTCTTGGTGAAGCTGTGTTTTTTCTCAGTTACTTATTCCATTCTTAGTGTTTCCACAGCACTTGGTACACACATCTTTCTGCATGTGCCTCATTGTTGCATTTGGTCTTTCCTGATACACTTTGAGTTCTTAGAAGGTGAGATGCTAAAGGGAAGCTCAAGTAATAAGTCCATGTAGACAGGATCTCTTCAAGTGTTTTATTTTATTTAAAAAAATATTTATTTTTTAGTTAACAGGTGGACACAATGTCTTTATTTTTATGTGGTGCTGGGGATCAAACCCAACGCCTTAYACATGGTAGGTGAGTGCTCTACCGCTGAGCCACAACCCCAGCCCTCATCAAGTGTTTTAAATAAGTATTTCTTGGAGACAGAAGGAGAGTGGCAGAGGAACAGTGTGAGTACCTGGAAGATATTTTGATGTTTGATAGGTGTGAGCTAGTGAGAGAAAAGTTGGGATCAGAATTTGGCTATGACCAATTAAGGTACTTTGATATATCCTGTCTCATTGGGCTAATTTGATTTTCACAGTGATCTGTGAGGTAGTTCTTATCTGAGTTTTACAGCTGAGGAGATTAAGTTGCTTCCCCATTGTTATACTTGTCCAATAGTAGAAGATACTACAAAACGTTGAATGACAGAGGGACCTGGTCTCATGCCAGCCTCTATGGTGGTGCCTGGTGTCTTACTGCCCAGCTGATTCTAATGTCGTATTGGCAATGAACTTTCTGATATTTTCTTTCTTGTCAGTTAGGGGAATTCTGTCATCTTTTTGAAATGGAAACTAGGGAGAAGATATGACTTATTCATAAAAAAATGACTAAGCCACAATTGGAATGTGTTTTCTTTTTGAACTGAAGTATGCTTTTATAGACATTGAGTTGTCTTAAATATTCTTTTTACCTTAATTTCAAATAGCATCGTAACCAGTTGTTATATATTATGACTTAAATTTAGTACTTGCCACTCCTTGTGGTAGGTTCTGTTATCCCCATTTCACAGATGTGCAAAGCTAAGGCCAATAGAAGGGTCTTGCCATGAATCATATAGCTTGTAAGTAATAAAGATATATTTAAACTTTAGTATTAAGCCCACAGAATCCAGTATTCTTATCCTTTACATCCTATTTGTATGTACTTTAAACATATTGACATAAGCGCATAGCCATCTTAAACAGACTCCATAGTTAACTATTAAATCCTCATTGTGGTTTGTAGTGATGTATATATAGTACATTGCAAATTATGTTAAAATAACATAATTTATGTGCTTTTTTCTTCTTTCCTTTCCTTTTTTTGTAATTCTAATATTTAAAAGAAATACAACTATAAAAGGTTTAATACTAGAAGTACCATATTCTCCTTCTCAAGATATATATGTATGGGGAACATAAATTTTTACACATTGGATGAGCTAACAAGTGTACATTTTATAGTGAAGGGCATTTGTTTTGAGGAAAAAGTCTCATAGCTTGTTTTTTTTTTTTTTCACTAGCAGTCCAGTGATGGCTTAGTAGTACATCCGGGAGTAGGCATGTGTCTTGTCTGACATCGCAATTGGGGTGTTCCAGGGGTGTGCATCTTCACTGGAAATGAGTCACCACTTTATGTTTTGCCACAAATTAGACAATGAGCTTTWCTTCTGAGGCTTTCAAAGCCTTTTGCATCTGTTGACAGTAGATTCTTAAATTAAAAAAAAAAATCTATTCAAGGCAAAAATATGTTAAGTCATCAGAAGCRGTTGTTTTATTATCCCTGGTACCAGGTTGGGGCTATAGCTCAGTGGCAGAGTGCTTGCTTGGCACACGTGAGGTGCTGGGTTCTGTCCTTACCACTACATAAAATAAAGGTATGCTGTCTATCTATAACTACCAAAAAAAAAAAAAAAAGAGTAAATACCATATTATTCTCTAGACAATTGTATACAGAGGCATAGCTTATATTGAAAAAACTTGTAGAAATGTCAAGGAGCATGACTAAAAATTCAAACAAGAGCTGATGGGATAAATAGGTTASACTTAGTAATAGGGATAAATTATTTTCTTGGGGATAGTATACTTTGTAGACATGTGATGATCACCTTTAGGTATCAAGGGAAACACTTTGAACAAATTTTTATACTGATTTTAGGAACTCTGAGCATTTTACTGTTTTAGTCCTTTTCATGTTTATATAATAGAGTAGCAATAAAGCAAAGGGAATTTGATTATTTATTTTGATTATTTATTTTTTGGCAGGGATTGAACTCAGGGGCACTCAACCACTGAGCCACACCCCAGCCCTATTTTTTGTATTTTATTTAGAAACAGGGTCTCGATGAGTTGCTTGGCGCCTCACCGTTGCTGAGGCTTTCTTTGAGGATCACGAGATCCTCCTGCCTCAGCTTTTGAAGTAACTGGGAGTATAGGCACGCACCACCATACCTGGTTCATGTTTTTATTTTTTAATTCATACGTTGCGTGACTATAAAGACTATAAAGTAAAAAAATAAGTCACTTTTTATATTGTTGAAATATTTAAAAAACAAATGTTTGTTTTAACTTATAGTAAATCATGCATCTGATCTCATGCCCTTAAATACTTGTGAAATCTTTATTACTTGAAAAGTAAAGATTCTTTCTTTCTTTCTTTCTTTCTTTCTTTTTTCTTTCTTTTTTTTTTTTTTTTTTTTAATTCTCCAGAAACGTGCTAAGGGACAGGTGTTAATTGACAAGGTATGCGAACACCTCAATCTTTTGGAGAAGGATTACTTTGGACTTTTGTTTCAGGAAAACACAGATCAGAAAGTAAGTAATTTCAACTTATTTATTTCCTTTTAGAAAACACTGTATTTTTCCTTTAGTTTTAAAGTAACTTAGTCTTTATTATGGTGTATTTTATATTTATTATAAAAATTTGGTAAATATATAAAAATGATCTTGTTAGAGAACCACCTACAACTTTTTAGCTTAGGTGTGTGTGCTCTTTGCATTTATATCATGAGCAGACACAGTGGAACATTTTGTCCTATGTTAATTATTTGAGAGTGAACTGATTTTAAAGTTATCTTAAAGTTTTATTTTTTGAATTCATGTAAAAACTTGGGGAGAATGTATTTGAAAAATACATATATTGAAGTAAAAGATTTTCAGTGTTGGGAAAATTGATGTTTTAGCATAAACTAAGGACTTTTTAAAAAATGGTATTATCTCAGTCATGCCATATTCCTAGATTTTGGTGGTAAGCATAGAGGCTGATCAAATCCATTCGTATTTTCCACATATAGGTATGCAGTCACCTGCATGCTAGGTATTAGGTAAGCCTGAAATGTGGAGGAGATGTAGTGAAAGGAATGCCAGGAGAAGAGTGCCYGAGTGTGCTTGTTGGGGAAGTTCAGGAGAGAATGTTGGTTCCTGCTGTAGCAGGTGTGTGAGAGGTAAAGTGCTCTTGTTGGGCCATTGGAGACAAATAAGGAGGTAGGGGCCAGCCTGCTTAGGGTAGTAGGTTTGACTAGCCATTGAAGACTCTAGACATCTGCCTAATACTGGGAGTTGATTTGCCGAAGCCAAGTGCCAATGTCTCGGCTTGGCACAGAATCACGAGCCACCACACAGCTTTGTAGGTTCAAACAGCAATTCTTTATTCCCGATCTCACACCAGCCTCCACACACGTTCAGGGGCAATTCCAATATGTCTGATCCCAAATCCTAGTCCACGAGGCTTTTTCCAAATCCCATTTGAATCTCASGAGAACTCAACGGGAACAAGCAACAGGAACACCCTAATCCCAGCAGCAATAATCTTCAACCTCAACTTCCCTAAAACCCATATTCTTAAACCGGGAACACCCTAAGCCCAAGGACCGGGATACTTCCTCAAACCTGCAGGATACTTCCTCAAACCTGGATCCACCCTCGATCACCTTGAGCAGGGTCATCTTTCTCAAACACACAAGCAAGGTCGCAGCAAATTTCCAAGGCAAGTCCATTTAACATGGGGTACACTGGCAAGGATTACGATGCGTCAATACCTACTTGGTAATGGCCCTCAGCATTGATTGAGATGGGTTTTTGCTCCAGGAATTTCCCAAGACACTAAGCAAGAGCATCATGGTGATCTGATGCTTAATGCTAATTCCAGGGAACTTCAGTATTTCAAAATTTCATAAGTGAACTAAAGAGGAAAACATTAACTAGTCCTGACAGAACCAGAATTAACCTGTAGTCTTACAGTAGATAAAGAAATTTTTCTCTTTACTCCTACTTTACTTTGAGTCTTGGGATTTACTTTGGTTGAGAAAATGTTGAGTATAGGAGTGAAGAATAAAAGTTGTACCCTAGGGAGGAAGCCCTTTTTTCTGTTAGATAGTGACTATAATCAGTGTGACCATTATGTCTGAGGATGCTCAGAGCACTTGGTCACAGTGAAAGGGATTACTGTGCAAATATCTAAGATTAAAACCACAATCATCAGAACAGAACAGTCATTAGAGGAACATAAATGTGAATTTTGTTATTTGCTTATGTACAATCTTTGTTTGTATTTACATGTTTCACTAATAAAATATGGTATGCTAAGGGTAATAATTTAAATTTTTTCAACTTGCATTGTTTTAAATCACTGATACCTAATTTGTAGTTTAATTCTATGTTTAGACTAAAGACAATTAAATTGTATGCCTGCCTGCTAAATAGTATGTGAGTGTACTTATTAGATCTATGTTTAGAAGTCTTCTGCAGAAGTAGTAATCCATGTGTCTAAATAAACTTGGTGCTCTTTTAAGACTATAAATTATAAGRTGGTCTTGATAATGTTTCCCATTATGGGCTCATTTGTTGGCCCTCAAATCTAAGAGAGAAAGTGGTAGGAATTTGGCTATTATTATCTACTTTATTGATTTTAGGTTATATATTAGTGGATTCAGTGGAGTAATTATTAATCTTTGTAAAGTACGGAGACAGTTCTGTATTTTGTAAAATATGAAGAATAGCATGTTAGTAAAAATGGGATATACTACATTAATAAATCTAGTATTTCTGGAGCACTAGTTTTGCATAAGAAGAAATACTATTTAGAGAGTAGGATTTGATAATTCACACTAAATGTATCTAGTCTATATCTTACATCTGAATTTCATACCCATATACTTACTAGTCTACTGGATACTACACTCAATTGTTTAAAAGCAAAGTGGTCATCTTCCTCTTAAATATCATCTATTCCTTGAAGAGTTGTTTTAGATTTCTCTTTCCTCCTTACTGCCTTCCATTCCTTATCAGTCAATAGGGTCTCTTTCCTACTTGCCAACATCCTTCTCCTGTTCTCTTTGTCCACAGATTTTGCTTTGGTTTAGGCCTCTGACACCTCTTGCTTTGAGTAATTTATTTCTCCTAATTGGACTAACTGCCCAGGCCTAGGCCCCTATAATCCTGCTATTTCCTGGCTTAGAACCATTTAATGGATACAGTCTCTAAAACCCCTTAGTGTGGTTTATATGGCTCTTGGTCACATGACCTCAATCAGCTTGAGCTAATTCCCAGTAATCTCTTACAGGAAATCCACATTGAGTGCATACCAAATTCTTTGAAAAGGAGCATCACTCTGGTATATACTATATCTACTTGAATATACTATTCTTAACATTGGAATGTCCTTTCCATTTCTTTTCTGAGTGCCTACCCTTCCTTAAGAGCCACCTTAAGTATCCTACACGGTGAGGTTTTCTTTGCCTTTCCCTACTACCCTCCTGCCTCCAACTTAAGGGAAATTTTGATAGTCCCTCTATCATCTCAAAACTTTATGATTGCATCTGACAGTGGGATGATGAAATCTAACGAAGTTGAGAATTGTGTGGTAACAATAAACAGGATTTGACTATAGAAAGGGATAGCTGAAGCCAAGGAGGGGTTAATTAATCAAGTCTCATCATCCCAAATAATGAGTACCTATAAAAACTTAAGTTAAGCAATAAATATGCCACTTATGATAACTTCTGAAACAAATATTATGTTTTTAGAATTCTCTCCTTTTGAGAAAAGAAATAGGTGAATGATTAGAACATTTGAAAAAGTATTTCATATAAATATAAAAATATATAAAGGATACACAAGCTTTTGATGTACTTGTATAATTTTTCTTGAAATATTCCTAGAATTAAAAATTTGGGACTGAATGGGTTAAGGTCATTAAGGCAGAGAATAAGATAAGGATAAGCTTAGGTGGGTTTACTTTAGCATTCTTATTGACAAAAAGATGCCAGTGCTAAATTAGGAATTCAGAATTTCTTATTTTACTTTGTAATTTCTGTTATGAAATGTATGAAGAAATTCCTTTGTATTAAATGCACACATTGTACCTAGGTTTTAAGTCAAGAATGTTGGGGAAATAAAGAGTGGGGTATCTTCCAGAGACATTTAGTTTTTAGGAAATCAGTGTTCAAATGTAATTATCRGGGCATTTAATTTTTTCATATATAATTAACTTTTATAACTTGTGTAATTTAAAAAATTCTTTCATGCTTATATAGACAAAATCCAGTATTTAAAAGATCTAGGGAAAAGAACTTTTATTCTTCCAGTAAAGATTTGTGTGGTGACCTTTTTTTCCCCCCAGAAAAATTGTTACTCTTAAACTAAGCTTAGTCAATTCTGCTTTGTTAGAACCGCATTTAGTTTCAGCAATAGGATACAAGGATGTAAGCTTCTCTTTCTTTTTTTAATACTGACAATTGAACCCAGGGCCCTGTCTGTGCTACTAAAGCACATGCTCTACCACTGAACTGTACCCCCAGCTAGTTTGTTTCTTTTTCATGCTGAGTATTATCTGTATCTGTATTTGCAGAAGTTTCAGATATTATTTCAACCTGTTGTAAAGTTAAGGTCAGGCAAAACCATGATTATTGCATATGAAAAATTTCCATGGAGAAAATATCTAAACTTTCTTTTAGTTTCAGTATCTTCTATGGTTGAGATGCTGAGTTGGAAGCCCTTCAGTTCATTAAACACGAACACGTGTCACTGTTAGCATTAGAACTTTTTAATGTCTGTTGAAAACTCTTAATGTATACTTGACTGTGGAAAATGTTATGTGGCATCATGCAACGTGCTATTCTTTTATAAATAGGATTCCAGGTCCATGTAGTTCTTATATTTATATCTAAGTAGACCCATGATTTTTGGAAACTCTTCAATGGGAAAAAATTGTCTTGGATTTCTGATGTTAATAGAATTTGGCATTTGGCCCAGGCCTTACAATCTCATTTTCCTGCAAGCGATATTGAAAAAGGTACTTGTTAGAAATGCAGTTAATATACACAGCTAACTTTAGAACTGAAAACTCAATATTAGATTATTAGCACATATAAACTTTTTTGAATAAAATTCTATATTTAATCCAGTTAAACTTTATAATCCCACTTTATCCCAGATGTACAGTGAAGGTTTTACTGTGATATAGAAAGTGTAACTTTTCTCTCAACACCAGCATCTGGTTAGAGGTTCTAATAGATCTAATTTAGGTCTAATAAAGTTATGTTAAAGGGGAATCAGTTTAAGTGCTATAGATTTCTTTGGAAAATGCAGATTTAAAACAAAACTACTTTTGTGTTTTTAACATTCGGCAATACAATGTGAGTTAGGTTGAATTTGTTAATTTCTCTCACCTGAACAAATTAGAGATTATCAAGAAATTTGAGGAAGGCATGGCTAGGCATTTGGAGAAACCTCTCACTCTGGGAGCTTAGGGTCTACCCTGAAAGCGCGGTTAGGAGAGGTAGATGACTTTTTGGAGAAATGAAATGCTAAGGAGC